CGTAATGGAAAATATTCAATGGAAATTATGTATTTTTAGAAATAATCGAAGGACCATGCGCCGTCATAACGATGACATTTTATGAGAAACAAATTTTATTAAGCATGCGAAACAAAAATATTTGAAAATTGTCGTTATAACGTATGCTATAAATTATACCTGCTTTGGGGACAACTTGGGAAACCCAAATGGACGCGTTGGGCATATGTGCAAAGTCGTATGCGATTATATTTGTGTATGGGCAAGTAAAAAAGTCTTTTGGGCGCTTTTGCATTTCGCCAGCAGTCAAATATTATCCCCTAAAGAGTCTTGTGAGTGAGCACACGCGAGCTGAAGTTGTATGTGACACGCGATGACGGCACAACCTATAATTTATTTATCCAGTTGTGAATTATGGCGTTGTATTAATGGACAAAGGAGTTGACGTCTCCCCTATGATATGCTAAAATATTTCTTAAAGCTTATCAGATACATCGACTGTATGATTAAAATATTCAATTATGAATGCTCTTTGATTGACACTATTTATTTTAATAAGCCATTTTGATAAATTTAAGCTCATCGCGATAGCGCATTAATAAAACAATAACATTTATGAATTATTTATTTAATTATAAAGATTAATGTATTTACAATGGTTCCTTGTTATGGGCATAAGCTCTGGCAGTATATCAGAGTGGAGTTATTAATTTTTAATATTGATAAATCGCTGGAAACGAGTTTACATCGCACCCTTCGTCACAATAAATCTTAGTAAATTATCACACGTGTTGTGAAATTGCAATGCAATTATGTACACGTATAATCGTAGAAAAATTTAACTTTCCTGGTTAATGTGATGGGATCGTAATTTTCAGGAACTTCATTCCAATTGGCCATATGCGTCCAAATCATAGCGGGTGAAATCCAAGTGGTTAAATTGCGATAGCGAAGGAGAGCAAGACAGAATGAGAAGAATAAGAATAAGAAGAAGAAGAAGAAGAAGAAGAAGAAGAAGGATAAGGAAAAACGAATAGCGGATGTAAGCGCGAGGGTGTAACGAGTATGATTGGCTTAGGTGGTCGATTGGAAACCTAATGTATATGTATATCGTAAATAGAGTTTATCGAATTATAATCACTCGAATTTATGATAAACAATATGATATGGCGATTTCATGAGTCGAATAATAATGAAATTTGCTCGTCCTATTAAAAATTCTATTGACTACTCGAGACAATTGAAATATAATTCCGCTTTGATTATATTAGGCTTAACAAATTATCATTTGTTATGAAAGCACAGTCAGTTGTATCAAGAGCATCTATAATAGAATATTTATAAAAAAAATAATAGAAATTATAGTCGAAAGTAGCTGCATGAGATTTTGCACGCATGAAAGAGGGAAATTTGACTGGATTACTGGATATAATAAAAGAAAAAATACCAATTTTATGGTGGACAATAAAATTTATTGCTATTTTCGATTTGACAAAATAATGTTCCACTTCCAAATTAAATATGATAAATTAAAATTCCAAGCCGCGTAACATTATTATTATCATTACAAGCAAATCTTATGTTTATTATGCTTAAGTTTAATTAAGTTATCCTTTTATTTGTTCATTGGTTGATTATAAGTTTTAATGGCATTATTATTGATAAATTTTATTTATTTTTTTTTTCTGTAACATATATGACGCTCCCAACTATTTATTTAAATTTGATGATTATCATTTATATAATATATTAAATTTTACAACAAAAACAATAGACAATAGTCGATATATAGCTCTTTCGATCTTCTGTAAGGCTGCTACGAATACTTGAAATTTCCAAGTGTATTGGATATTAAAGACTGTATTGGTAAAAATTAAGAAGAATAAAGTATTTTACATTATAGTCCGAAATTAATAAATAATTGAATATAACAATAGTGTTAATATTTTCTTAGTTTTGCTTTGATGTATAGTTATGCTAATTCAAGTGCCAATATCGAAACGAATATTTTCGTTATTCTTGAATGTTGAGATATTTGATCGATACCAGAACCCAAATACAGATAAATACCAAATAATTTCGAATGACGTTCCTAATTTTCTTAGCGAATTATATTGTTTTACATTTTATAACGTATTAGTTTTATTTATCTATTGACGATATTGGAGCGCAATATTTAATTACGCGAAGTTGCGAGTTTATGTGAATCTTTGCGTTATTTACCTCATCAAACGCAATGGCTACTTATACAGAAACTATTATTCCATTATTTTATTCGTTCTCCTCTTCTCGCGCACCATTTTCCGAGTTGCAATAAATTTAAATGAAAAATTATAAACAATACTTGTGTAACACTATCGAGGAACGATATCCGATAATCTGCATACAAAGATCAAATGTAAATATTAAAACATTTTATTCTCAATTTCCTTTATATTAGTTTGGGTATATTGATTGATAAAATATTGACGAAGGTGTCAAAAGCTTCATTTATTGTACAAAGTACAAATCTCATTAAATATCTTATAAAAAGATGCACAAGTAATCAATAATTTAGATTGCCGATCAATGAAATTTTACAGAAAATTAGTTCGAATCTGCAATTGTACTTGTCAAACGAGCTCATCAATCATTCATGGTAAGAGAATTGTACTTCTTGCACAAGGATTTATCAATTAAAAAGGTAATGAAAAAATGAAAAGCTAAGCTCTTTATGATACATCTGCAATAGACAAAATCTCGATAGCCTTGGAATTGTCCTTAGAATGAATTATATTTAATGAATGAAATTCCCATTCTTTGTTACCCGTCTATCTCCTCTTTTCTTTGTCTCCATTACTTTGCGAAGATGATTTTATCGACATACCTCATACGTACATTATGAGAAACATTTATAAAATCAGGATATTTTTGTAGCTTATCCTGCAATGAAGTTCATATAATTTCTCCCGCGCAATAGATGTGAAACAATTATGAAATGATGATGAAATATTTGAAAAATAATCCTTTGTCAAACTGTTAAGCATATGTTTTTGCAAGTCTAAAACAGACGACATAATTTTCTTCAATTATTTAAGTATTTTCTAATACCATAAAATATAAATATAAAACGAATAAGGTTAATTTTTTTTTTTTTTTTTTTTTTTTTTTTTTTTTTTTTTTTTTTTAGTAATACAATTTTAATTACATAATTCTCTTTAGTCTCTTAATTAAAAGTTTGTAAATGTTTAACAGTCGCCATTTCAATGGCTATTAAAATTTTTGATTTTCTACTACATAATAATTTCCAACCATTAATGTTATAAAAATATTAGAGTGTTATTTATAAAACATCTTTATGAAAATTAGAATTTCAATATGCTATTGAATGCTGATGATAATAGTAAAATATAAAAGTGAATATAAATATAATATTGGTAAAAATGAACATGTGTATAAAATCTGTTTCAAATTAATTTAATCGAGGTACAGATTTTACGTAGTATTGACCGAGTTAAATGTCACGGAGGTAAATATGATTTTTTTTAATTTATTACGTTTATTAAAGGTACTTTAAATTTCAAATACAAAAATTCATTTTGTGTTTTCACATGCCTATATATTGTGTGTGTGTGTGTGTGTGTGTGTGTGTGCGCGCGCGCGCGCGCGCGTGTGTGTGTATCGTAACTATAGCATGAAGAATTATTTAACGTATATATAAAATGTCTCGGTACATTGCGCCGACTGTAATTCTATCTAAATTATTGCAAATCTTGTTTTAGTTTGAGATTGTATATTTCTTTTAATTTCTATTTTTAAACACAGAAATAAAACACTTTCATAAATTTATTTTCTTCATTCGTTAATTTCCTATTGTATGTTACTATGCATATAAAAAATAATAAAGACGATGATTTTCAATGTAATTAAAGTTTTTCTAATCAGATGTAACATATTCCATTACTCTATACCAAGAATTTATAAATATGTGTGTGCTTGAGCATGCGTTTCTCTAATGGCTCCCATAATTAATATCTCGATACACACGTATATTCTATGGTTTCATTTCTCCCAATCATTTAACATCGACGGTAGCACCCCACCATTTCTCTTATCTTAGATTAATTGCAATTTTATTATAAAAAAAGTATAGGCAATTATTGAATGTAATAATTTGAAAAATATTCCATACATACAGATACACATACAATATGAAATTAAGAAAATATGTTGTTGTCAACATCTGTTACGTAGCAATATTGTTTAATGATGCTTTACAAGTAGGACAGATCAGCCTGGAGGAATCATTGGGAAAATAATAATTTATACAGTTACAATAAAAATTATTTATAGTATATCATTACGATAGTGTTTAAAGTAATTAAATACTCAATTAATTTATTATTAAATTTATCATACATTGAAGATACTGGAATATATAAAAAAAATGCCGAAATGTATAAAGATGGAAAAAGATTGTGCTTATAATTTCAACTCCAAGAAAAATTATAAAAAATTAATTGTAAAAAATAGATAGCGAATAGTTATAAGAATTATGTAATGGAAAAAAAAAGGTTTTCGTCAAAAAGTTTATCTCAAGAAAGTCTCTTTGCATATATTTCTGTGTGTGAGTACAGGTAAGTTTTTCTGTTTGAATTATTTTATTAGCAATAACGTAATTCGCAACGTAATCTCGTGGATTATAAAATAAATGTATACAAATAAAAAAAGAGTTTAATGAAAAGAAGGTAGTCCATTGTATATTATGTATAACACTAATATCGACTTATTTACTTATGTCAATAAAAATTAAGTAAAATTTTTTATTAATCTCTTATTAACGTTTGTTTTGAGATAAATTGAAAAACTATGATAATTAAATATAGGATTATTTAATTCTTCATTATGACTTTTAACAAAAGCAGATTATATGAGCATTTAGTACATTTTAAATAATCGTATAGTTATTATAATTGGAATTATGAATATGTTTATAATTGAAAAAAAAAATTCTATATTCAATAAACCTTTTGTAGTAACTGCTCAAGACATCACTATCATGAGTTATTGCTAATTAATTTAAAGAAGATGTTACATTTATGAAAAATATACATTATTCTAAAGCCTTGTGCAGATCAATAAAAACCGAATACTTATTCGTCGCTATGTGAGCGTTAACTTTATTTTCGGTATTTGCCTCGTTTGGCCGTGGATATAGTCCTACATTAAGTCCTATAAGAGAACCTTGAAAGAATAATGGACCACCACTGTCTCCCTAAAATATAATTAGTTTTTATTGATTATTATGAATATAAAGAAAAAGTATGATATCATATTTTGGAGAATATTATGCAATATTAAGTATTTTTATAAAGATGTTAATAAAGAATTTGGGTAATAATAAATTTTTTATTATATATATATATATATATATATATATATATATATATACACTTACGTATACGCACATATATTTTTTATCTAAATATTTAATCTTGATATTATTTAATAGATAAATAAAATGTAATTTATCGATTCTTACGATAACTAATTTTATACTTGTATTATACTACAATTCATAAAGTATACATGAAGACTAGAAAATTATGCAAAAGCAATATGTAACAAGGAATAATGTTTGTATTATGTCAGTATTATGTAATATTTTATGTGTTATTTTATCGTGAAATAGAAGGAATTTCTTTGTTAAATAGCTAGCTATATAGGTACGTCTTTAAACAGAAACGAATCTATGCAAAATTATTTGTAAAGAATGTTTTATATATATATATATATATATATATATATATATATATATAGAGAGAGAGAGAGAGAGAGAGAGAGAGAGATAAGAATTTAATGAAATCTATTTAAAACTATATTACAATATTTATTTTACACGATCTATGTCTTGCTAATAATGTCACAATAAATACTATAAACAACATTACGAATTACATATACGATATTTAAATTGGATAGCACAATACTAGTAAAAAATTACTATACAATAAAAATTTGTTAAAAAAATTTTAATTTAGTAAACGAATTCGGAGTAAATCATTAAAAGTACTTACCGGCTCCATTACTACGTATGGGTTATTTCGAGAGCACATTAATCCAATTGAAATGCTATAACGACGCCTGAGCAAGTCAGATAAATGAGAAGAACATTCTTGTCGTGACATAAGTTTCACGATTCCCACTTTAAGACTCGGCGAAACGTTATTAATCCTTGATCTACCACATCCAACCATTTTAGAATTTAATCCAAAAGCCGGATCAATTGGTGATATTGTCGATAAAACAGCTGGAACAACGTGAGATAATAATCCAAGCACCTAAAAGAAGTTTATTTTTTTTTTTCAATACACTTTTTAATACTCTCAAGTTTTTTAAATAAGGAAGCTGGAATATTTTATTTATTGTCACACATGCAATAGTATGAGATTAAAAAAATAAAAAATAAAAAAAAAATAATCTTCTTAATATCATTATTATATTATATTATTAAATACGTATAAATTTACTTTGATAACAGCGATGTCGTGATACCCATCCTGATTAAAATCTGGATTATAGGTGACCCACTTCGGAAAGTCTATCCACCATATTGGATAGTAAATTGTTTCAGGTGAATATATCGAATTTTTTATAATTATCTCCATCATTCTTACGTTCGATAATTGGAAACAGTGTCCATTTGTCAATATAAGAGTTTCAGTAATGAAAGTTCCTGTGCACAACAAATTTTCATTCGTAGTAACATCTGGTTGATATATCGTTATACATGCAATAGAGGGAAATTCACTCATAATTGGCGCTCTAACATTAACACCAATTAATGCATTTACATTTATAATAATTCCAGTACCTGTAAAATTATTCCTTTTTTTAATAAGCAATCCTCATTCTATAGTGTATTGCTATAGATTCAAGCTAATAATAGTAAAACACATAAATTATTATAATTTTATGCAATTTTATAGTAATATCGTTAATGATTATATGTTATTATTATATGTTTAACTTTATAGTATATTCGACATTAATATTAAATCCAAAGTAATATATAATCATTTCATAGATTGAGATAATAATTGTAGCCATAGTAAGCTAGCGTGGTTAAGCAAAATATCGAAAAACAAGATTTCAAAGTTTGAACCATATAAAAACAATAAAAATCGATCAAGTATTAGGAAAAGTTACAAGATACGCGAGTAATTCTATTTTTCAAGCACAAAAACCGTTGAAGCCAATGAAAAGTCCGAATAATAAGATAAAAAAGAATTCGAATATCTTTATGTTTTTTTTTATTTTTTTTTTCAATTTTTCACAATGTTTATGATTCAGTACCAGATCTCCCGCTTATAAATAATTGAAAAGATTAAATAAAGCAATTTCACACTTTACGGACTGTTTCATTTGATTCTTTTCACAATATTATATTATCAATACAAAAATGAAGTCATACGTAATACCCAAACATTAAAATAACTATTGAACTTAAATAATATCATGACTCTATATATATTTTTTCAATAATTATTTGATTCTTAATTATAGTGAGAAATATATAATTATAATAAATTTTATAATGTGAAAATTTTTAAATATAAGATGATTAAAAAGTAAACAAAAAAACATGATATAACTTACATAATATTATAAATATAATAACAAAGCAAAAAGATTTATAAACCATTATAAATACAAAATAATAATTGAAATTAATTATTGGCCAACAATTGTGTTTATTTTTTCTTTGTAAAACGTATATGATAAAAATATGTCTAAGGAAACAGTATGTCCGCAATTAACTGCAAATATAAAACTAATTATATACTGCGAAAAATTATATTTCTAATTATTAAAAATTAAAATTTTAAATGTTAGATAAGATTAAAATGTATCTTTGATATGAAAATCAAATATTATATGTATATACAGACATACATATACATATATATACACACATATATATATATATATATATATATATATATATATATATATATATAGATATACCCATATGCATATCCAATATTTAATATCTAATATTTAAATTTTCAATATATAGTACGCATACATGTATGTATGCGTGTAAATTTATACTTATTAGATAGAATTGAATATTACTAGAAAATATATCATTACGTATTAAGATAAATTACAAATTCGAATACAAATTAAAATATAATTTATATCTTTTTAAGGCTACGAAAATAAATGTATTTATTGATTTTTTTTTTTTTTTTTTTTTTTTTTTTTTTTTACTTATATCTGTTATATAATACATATAATATACAAATAAAAATTGTTAAATATATAAGAAATTAATTCCGAATTAAATATTTTTATATTTTTAAAAAGAAAAGTAATATTTTGATAAAATAATATAGATATTGATACAATAGTTTATTACAAATTTATCGTCTTTTATCGATAAAAATATGTTTTACGAATGAAACTTATATATAAATAAATAAATACTTTTATGAATGATAAAATAAAATTACGAAACTAATTATAGAGAAATTTGATCGATTGTTGTTTGGATTTTTAATTGCTTTGATTATTGTGAAAAGCTTAGATTCGAAATAATTTTTTGTTAAAATAATCGATATTAATCGATATTTTGTTTATTAAAATTTACAGAATGACGTATTTATATAGAATATTGGTAATTTGGGAAGAAAAAAAAATATTAACACTATAAAAACTATTTGGCATTATTTTTATTGGCAAGTGAAGTTTTAATTTTTAATATGAGTGTTTATGTTTTATCATAGATAAATTAAAAGATTTATGTGAACAAGAGAGGGGGAGGGGGGAATAAACTATTATATAAACTACTCAAATTGTAATTAAATTACTTCAAATATTTTGATAATATTTTTCAATATATATTATTCAAATTAATGTTTATTCTATAATCATTATAGTATATCTTAGAAATCAATGAAAGTATAAAAAGAAGTTATTTTTATCGCTCGTTTATATTAAACATTTTTATTAAATATTTATAATCTACTATAATATATATAATTATCTAATGGAATAGTAAAAGTTATTCGATTTCATTTCTGCTTGTATAAAATTTATTTTCAAAAGTTATGACGATTATTACTCGACATATGTTATTAATCTTTATTAAATACATAAGTATCAATAATATATGTAAAAAAAAGCAGCTAATATAGTTAATTGATAAATTATCTTTTTTAATGATTTGACTGATTAACCTTATTGATTGACGAATGATTTAACCTTTTGAAATAGAATCGATATCAATATTATTTAATAATAGTTCTCTACGCAAAATATAAGTTTATCGATTACATTTTACATTATTTCCATCGGTAATATAATTTTTATTATATAATAAATTTAAATATAATAAGTATATATATTATATATAAATTTGTATGTATGTATAAAATGTATAAAAAGATATAATAAATATATAATAAAAAAATAAATATAAAATAAATAAATATATAATAAAATAATATATATTGAGAATTTTTTAAATACTTTTCATGGTTACAATGCTTATCGATTCTATACTAATGGGATATTAGACTAGTTTTACTTGATATCCGTTTTATTTAATTAATCCAACACTTATCCTTATAGATAATTCTTTTTTCTTTATTCATACTATTGCTTTGCTAGAGAATAGATTTTTTTTTTAGTAAAATAGCATGGGTGATCAATTTTCAGAATATAAATAATATATATATATATATATATATATATATATATATACATACCAATGAAAATTATAAATAATTCTTTTGACAGTTATCGGTGAGTGTCTATAATTATAGGCGTAGACATTATAACAACTACTTGATCAATTAAGCAAATTTTATTTAAAAATAATTTTATAAACTTTAACAATATATTATAAAATACTATTATTTAATAATTATTTACAAAGAGTATTCATTCGTAATAGTTAACAGTAATAATTTACATGATTAGGACTCTGTCGACATTATTAATTATGTTTAATTAATAAATACAGTGCAATTTAGTGAAAAATAAAAAAATTAATATATACTCCCATATGGTTTTAATATTGTAAGTGTATATTATAGGTAAAAAAATGTATTAAATTTCTTAAAAAATCTTAAGGCAATAGATATTTCAAAAAGAGTATAAATAATTTTTTTGAAAATTTATATTCCTTGTTCCATAAATGTTTTATAATACAGTTAAAGTTAAATAGATAACAACGTCCATTACTCTGGTAATAGAAAGATATAGGTATCTACGAATAAAGAGGTATATTTCAGCTAAGATTGTTTCGAGACTGAAAATGAATCTTTAAGCGAAATTTAACTTAATTTAGAGTATTAATTGAATAATGGAGGATAGGAGAAGAAGTTTGCGCTACGTAAAAGAATGTACTCGGGAAGCGTATGAGCACTCAGCAAGAAAACCGAGAAAAATATCTGTGATATGGGCAACGCGATGATCGTTGACGTGAATTTTTCCAAATACTTTTTATCCTGTTTGTCTCCCCCTTATATTCGCGAATGGCTCAACTACAATAGAGGCAACGGTAAGTCAGCCGATCGCGGAAAAAGGTCTACGAAAGCGCGCGTATGAACGTCCGCTGAAAAAGGAAAAGTACAAAGCTGTCCGAGAGAGAGAGAGAGAGAGAGAGAGAGAGAGAGAGAGAGAGAGTGATAGAGAGCAAAGGAGTAGTGGTGGCCGGTGCATTTGACGTTGATATCGCGATAAGATGAAAGAGAGCTGGGCCGCCGAGCTTATAACCGAGCTACGGGCCGACCATATTGTTGCGCACGTCTAGGCATAACGAAATGCTTTGCGAGTCGATCTTATTTGGAGCGCAAGCATGAAAAAGCGCGAGCGAGCTTTTGACCGGATGAAGAAACGGAATCGATATGCCCGTCCAAGCAGTATTTGCTCCACCTCCTCTCCCACGCCCTTCTCAACCTGCCTATAACGAGTCTTATATTATGTCTGTAGTAATATATGTTGAATAGCTAAAAGTGCCCTCGGCGAGTGATCGACTTTACTTTTAACACTTTTGCCGACATTCCACGGAAAACTACTATATTTGTAAATAATAATATTCATTTTCTGGATCTAGATCTCGAACATGTGAAACGTAACGTTTGGATTACAATTAGTATTAAGTAACATCTAGGACTCTTAGACTTTCGAACAATCACCTTTTTATTTCGTATTATACAATTGGTCGAGCGGCTTGATGATAATCTCCCCAATGATCGTTTCATACGTATTATATTACATAATTATCCTTATTATTAAATATCATGTTATGTTACATCTGAC